CTCCCCCTCCCCCTCCCAAAATCCCACCCCCATCAGCAAATCTTTAGACCCTTGCTAGTAGCTCACTGAGCGAAGAGATAAACTAGGGCTGGGCAATGGGTCGCTTTAGCAAAATTCGGATATGTTAGTGCACCTCTTCGGCAAACAATATGATATGAACCGCTTCGGCTAATGGGTTAGCTCAGCACCACTTCAACAAATCGGATGGAGTGCACCCACTTCGGCAGACGGGTCAAGAAAGAGAGCTAGTTTAGTTTTAGTGAGTGTTTCACGGTACTTACAACACAATAAGGTCATATAAGTGCCAGAAGAGTAGAGGTGTTACGAGAGAGAGTAACAAATATAAAAAAAGAAGGAGGGGATATAAAGACGATAGATGTTTGATAGGAAAGAAGAAGCAAACCACACCAGAGCACCCGCCAACAACCCACGAAAGAAAATTAAGAATCTGAATTCGGATAACATTTGATTTAGAACTATCCGGTTATCCTTATAGATTATCCGGATTTTGCCCACGTCTAAGAAAAACCGAAGACAAGGAAAAAAAATTCCCCCCAACCATGCCCCAGATTTTCCACCATCAGACGTTTCCATTCCGCCCATCCCTGGGCACGGCGGGAAACTCGGTCGCCCAGTGGAAAAATGTCCAGTGGGTAGCCTGGCGTTGGAGGCGGTTGTTTCAGTTTTAGTTAAAGTTTTACGGCGCTCGCAACTGCATAAGGTCATAAGAGCACCAAAAGATTAGAGGTGTTACAAAAGAGTAACAAACACAAAAAAGGAGGAAGGGAGATAGAAACAATCAACTTTTTTTTATAGGAAAGAAGGAGCAAAACCACACCAGAGCACCCGCCAACCACCCACAACCACCCACAGACAGAAACAACAGACGCAAAATAAAAATAAAGAAGTAGAGGGAATTCCAATGACGCCCGCCAACCACCCACAGACAGAAACAACAGACGCAAAACAAATATAAAGAAGTAGAGAACCTTCCCAGTGACGCCTGCCAACCACCCACAGACAGATACAACAGACACGAAATAAAAATAAAGAAGTAGAG